ACACACAGCTGCAGTTAATGATGTCTGACAAACATGAAACCGGAGATTTGTAACTGTGTTCGGTGCGAGCTTACTCAGCTTGTATAGCAAGAAGGCAAGCGTCAGCAGTATGCCGCCGCAGTATGTTGCTCCGCAACCACCACTGGTCCCACGTAGGTTGCGAGGGTCTCCCGGTCTCTACTCTCAGACTCGTACCCGCGCCCTCGGATTACAAGATTGGCTTGTGATCCTTAAGACTGCGGCCGGCAACTCGGACTCCAGCGTACGTATTTAGCACAACTGGTTTCTCCAATTGGCGGGGTTTTCGCCCCTATAACGTCCTCTCGGGGTTCACTAAACCACACACAGTGATTAGCACATACGAGTACGTGGTCAGTCCACGCTTGGGTTTCAAATTGAACGGTAGTTTTGGATGCATCGTCCCCAACGGTAACTGCTTCCGCTGAGATCGATTTGCGTCCATGACAGGTTTAAGGCTCTCCTTGGCGCCATGTGGTATTCTTCGGCGCGCGCTTACTGTGTCGGAAGTTAGGGCTCACGAGAAATAGGCGTGCATCACAGAACTGAAGTGACCACTCACCGTTGTCATTTACGGGCGTCTGCACCCGTGTTAGCCGCCCAGATTGACGCTCTTCAGTGGTGGGCAATTTTTTAAGCCGAACGTCCAGATCCCCAGCCAACAGCACTACCAGTGTCTGTACTTCTTCTCTGCTTCTTCTGTGATGCAAGTCATCTTTAACCATGTCGGTGCTACACATTTTATGGGCGCATAGACATTGATGACAAACTGACACCTCTTTACCCCGCGTGACTTCGTGGTTTCGAGCGGACCAGTTAGCCGGAGGGCACACATCTAGCCACTGACTTGGATCCAGTCGACCTGGGCATATTTTCAGCCCGGGTGTTCAGAGCCATACCCACATTAGCTAGATCGGCGTTTGAAGTTCCATCATTACAGGAAAGAAGCGGTGAGAAAGTGCCGTCGATGTCGCATGTAGGGGATCGCTGGGTAATCACAGAGCCCGAATCTCACAGGCGGGTTTCCCATAAACAGCAAATATCGCTCAATAGGGTTTCCATTGATCGGCCATGCGTTGCCTGGTAACCGGTCTATAACGAAGTGCATACGTTGAGACATGCGATTATCCTGGGCTCAAATTAGCCGCAGACGTGTACTTCTCGACAGGACAGAAGTGACGTCCCTCGATTATATGAGTCGAACCGATGACAAACGCACAACAAAGCGCGGTCGGGAAGGGCCAATAATTTGGGGGATTGATAACGGGTGGATAGAAGTGAAATTGGAGCAGGACGATGTGGATGAAAAAGCGCAGGCAGGGGAATAAGAAAGCGGGGGGAGCTTGAGCAGTAGCATCCACACCCATATCCACCCTGCCCCAGACAGCAGATATGGCGCCGTCGATTATCCTCTGCGACGGCCGGAGCATTACGGTTTCGTGTGAACAGTTTGTCGCTAACTTGTGGATTTTTGTGTGTAGTGGAATTTTCGTAGAAAGTAGAAGCCACGATTAAACTTCGCACATTAATCTTCCTCGACGGGGAATCGAACTCCGGTCCCACGGATTACTTTCTACGAAAATTCCACTACTCACTCAAATCCAAAAGTAATCTACCATCGCCCTTTGAACATCAGAAGGACAGATACTTCGGTTCATTGGGAAGTGACGAGTGAGTGAGCCAATCTGCAACACCAGGACAGATACTGTGAGCTCATTGGCAATACGTCGCGAACCAAGCAGAAGTCATGTATTAAATTGCGCACCTGATCGTCAGCCCTCGGTAGCTCAGTGGTAGAGCAGCGGAGCGGTAATCCGTGAGACGGGTTTGATTCCCCGTCGAGGCAGATTATTGTGCGAACTTTAATCGTGGTTTCTACTTTCTACGAAAGTTTGTCGCTACGTTGCATAAGCAGGATATTGTCAGGTTGTTCAGGTTTAGTCATGAGAACGGTTAGGGTTCTCAACCAAAATCTTTGGTTCAAAAATCTGGCCCTAATGCAGCGGGAGTTTGCCAATGAACTGCAGTAGCCCGTTTTCAAGACTACTTGATCACTCATTCCAACCCCCGAACTGGAGGACCATAAGACTGAGTTTGTCTGGCCTCTAACTATTGGCTAATCTAGTCTCAGTGGCTCTTTTAAGCTGCACAATGCACAACTCTGCATTTCTCAATGGATTACTGAGGCACGCAAAACATCACATCATGGTCTCGTTTCATTGCAGTGGGACGTGCACGTTTAACTTTACTTATTAGAAATTAAAGCTTTCACATTAGATTAGCCCGTTTGGTTGCCATTTTAATTACTTAAGTTCCGTCGTTACATCACCCGACCTCATCCACCACATAAGATCGGACCATCATGCATAAGGTGGCCATATTTTTCGTGGGCCAACACGGGACGCTTCCAGATTTCTTGCGGGTCAAACTGGGACGCTTAACCCACCCCGCTTGTCGCTTCAGTATATGCGGACTGTACAAAAAATTGTGAAGCTACAATAACAAGTCAGTGTAATGTCTGCGCTACTAAAGTTGATGTCCTGCTTGACATTGTGTCATCTACAACCACAGTTGTAGAGTAACCTTTTCTGATGAATGTATTTTCCTTAGTAGGTCTGGGCACCGCAGCAGCATGTCGTGAAGTCATTCGCAGGGATACCCGGTGCTCTTGTTCTCATAATTGCATTTCACCATAAGTATCATTTTCAGTGTTTGGACGTTAAGCTGCGCTTTTTCGCTTGTCTTTACCGTGGTCATGTGTAAGAAGATTCGTTCAATACTCCCTGGGACACTGCGAATAAATTCAATAAGCTTTTATATTTATTCACAATGGTACCGAATTGGCCTGGAAATGGGAAAATACTCCTCCCCACCGCATCTCAACTTTTCTTTGTTTACAGTTACGATTGGAAATTTTGTCGGCTAATGCTAATCTACACATGTTGTCAGAATCGTCAAACAGCTCGTTATCATTGATTTCCAAATCTGGGAGTTTAGATTCAAAAAGACTGACGCTTGCTTCAACTTTTCCTAGGGCGGTGATGGTTTCAATGCCACCCAACTGAAGTTACTCATTTCTTGGAATTGGTTCATTCTTTCCTTTACATAGTCGACGCAATCGTCGTAGAGGCTGGTGATAATATTCATCACCTGTTTTTCTGTTGAGATCCGCTTGTTTGAGTTGGTTCTTACCTCGTTTGGAACAAAGCTTTTCTGCTCCTGTCCCTGAAGTTCTGCAGGAGTTCGTACATTGCAGACGACACTTCCAGTGCTGAAATATTTTGTTTCTTACTTTTTAGTACAGTAGCGGGAATAATGGCAGATGTTGGGTATCGAGAATAATCACAGCTCAACGCAGGGATTCGTAATACTGTAGGGCACTTCTGTCGCCATAAAAAATGATTTCAACGCTGAAAAGACCTTCGGGATTCTCTCCACTGCTGACGTAATTGAAAGCCATTCTGTTTCCCCTTATCATAGAATGCGTTGGTACTCTACCATTGCACAGCAACAGAATTCCTTTAGTTCTTCAACACTAACACACAACTGTTTCAACATCAATTGGACGCAAGTCAGCTGCCGTTTGCAATATGTTGTGGACAATGTGGGCCATGCGACCAATTCCCATAAGTGTTTCGCCAATCGAAGATTTCAATTTCGCAAATACGTTGTCTTGTTCTCTTCTCTGAACCCCACCGAAATTTGTATTGGCGTTGCCAGCACAAAATCCCACAGTTTTTCTGGTCATATTATTTTGTTCCAACACATTCTTTACAAATTCACAAATGCTGTTCGATGTATCCTCAGTAAGTGACTACAGAGCTAATAACTTCATTTCAATACCCGACGACTGCACAAAATATCTTACCATGCGTGGGGACACATTTACTTACCTGTGCTTTGAGGCGTCTGTTAATATTGACACGAATTTTGCTTTCTTCAATTTTACTTGAAGTTGGTCTCTGGCCAATGCGAACAGGATATTCTCTATTATTGCATCACATTTTGTGCGGGCACAACAAAACTTCGGCACAAATAATTTCTCTACCAACTTGCTGGTGCAATTCACGGAGCGAAAACTGTGGTTATGAAATGCAACGTGATAAGCGAAGGTACCTACTGCAGCTGCTAACTTGGTTTCTGTATTTCCAAACGTTGCTGATCGAAAGTAATTTCTTACTGGGGTAGAAGATGATGTCGCAGACACTGCTGCCTTATGGCGATCCGATTTTAGGTGTTTTGTGATATCCCATCTGCCACCTGGAGCAATAGAAAATTCGGATTGGCATATATCACATCGAACATGCGAATCGTTGTCGCGTGTTGCTTTCTTAATGAATGCAAAATCGCTCTCCACTTAAGTAATCATCTTACACGATCAAATACAAGGGGTTCCCCATCAAACTGCACTTAATACAGGTGTTCTGCACTGAAAACAAAAATTTCATCAACACTTTACCCCTCTTTTTATATTGTCGTAAAAAATCTCCTTGCTTCGTTGCCCATCCACGCAGTCGACTATATCGCCCTACTCATGCCCGCACACTTACTTTGGTTTTATGGTGTGCGCGCACCCCTCCAATGATTGGTATTTTCTCATCTACATTCTACATGCTCAAAGCACGACATTTTGAGGTCTCCGATCTCAAAGAGGGACATTAGTGCTTCCCGCACAGCATTTCTAAAAATGCGGGACTGTTCCGCCTACATCGGGACGCTTGGCCACCTTAATCATGCGCCTCGGTGCGACCGACGAAAATTTCGTTCAACTTTAGTCCTACTGTATATGTACACAGACAACTAACAGCTTTCGTCTTTCAAGGTGTGAAAATCCACATCTGGATCTATATATATTATTTTCTCTTACTTCTGGTTTGTTCATCACGCGGTCCGTGAAGTTTTTCTCACATTCTCATTTTATCCTTACATGCTCGGTCATTTGCATTGATGTCCATCAAACGCTGTTTACTCTGCCATTCCAGATCGCGCGGCTGTGTGTGGACCTGGGGAAATCGGACCTACACACTAAACACCTCCTTTTGGCACATATTTGTGATGAGATTGTGCGTTGGTCCTCGGAGGATCCTGCCGTCGAAATGACAGATCCGTGTGAAGCAGATACAAAGCGTTCTCGGCTTGGCTTAATAGACCCTCTCTGTTTGATCGAATTCGCCGATCCACTCGCCCTATTTGAGCATTCACCGCTGCCCATATGTTTCGAACCTCCAGCAAAGCCTTCTCGTCGACACCAGTCTGCTCGTGGTTTTACCGTGACGTTTCCAGATCACTTTGATCTGCAAAACGAGTGGTGCATTGGACTGTTCACATCGCTCTCAAAGCAAGTGCAACGGAGACTCAGCTCAACCGCGGTGGACGCAAGCTTACGAAGCTGTCTTTACCTCGCTCTGTTTTGCCTGCATGGTCATTTGTCAGACGATTACCCCTGTCTCCTTCCTTCGTTTGCCTCGACATTACTCTCTGAAATCCTTCCTGGTTTGCCCGAGGATATTCATTGCAACTCTTTGTCATCTTCAGTGATACGCGGACTGACAAGAGCCTGGTCCCATTCTGACGAGGCCAGTCCGTTGCGGGTGCCGTCAGACTCTATTTGCTCGCAGTTTTTCAACGAGCTATTTCCAACCATCTTGTTGCATTTGCCATCCGATTCAGCCAACCTCTTTCGGAATATTAGCAATTTGTTTTCGCATTGGCTTACATACTGGTGCAAAAAATCTGTATTGTTGGAAGCGACCGAGGACGAGGTATCCTCCTCGTTGACCAATATCTCACTGTTGTTCCACACTTTGTGCATTAACCATCCTAAAAATGGTGATCAAACACACGGGTTGAAAGAATCACTTTTACAAGAAATTGATGCTTGGATCCAGCCGTTTTTCTCTTCCGGCACCGTTGATATGCTCACAACCCATTCTCTTAACATGATCCATCGTCTTCTCGTCATACAACTAATCGCATTGGAGTCATCTTCCTTTCCCACGAATTTTGACCGTCGCAACCGTTGGTGCCTTCAGCTGGGACAACTTTTATTCGCGATGTACCGCGTCCATCATTTCGCGCTCGTCGCACAAGTCCTGACACCCGACTCGCCTCTGGTGGTGTTCACTTCAGCGACTGTGAACTTTGCACATCTTCCAGCACTGTCTCTCCCCACCGCATTTCAGCGCGCCGAGAGACTGTTACTGTTCTATGCAAGTTCACGAATACGAGATCCAAGCCATACTGCCGACGCATATGACGTGGCACATTCTATCTACAATTTGTTGTTCAAGACCGTTCAGTATTCACCCTACGTTCCGCCCGGATTGATTCGGTTCTCAAAATCTTTGGCCACCGAATGTCCCACTCCCGCATTGGCCTCTATCTGGCTGTCTGAACTGTCGGAGTTAATTCAGAAGTTGTCGATATGTCCATTCACAGACAGCAGCTCTCCTCGATCAGCACTGTTTAATGTCCCCACGCGGCATCTGTTGCCCGCGTTTGGTTTATCTGTCGACCGAGCCCATTTGGCCTCACTTGTTCGTCTGCATCAGCTTGGATTGCAGATGGAACTCCCTTGCAAACTACGGACAGCGGATAGCGAACATCGCCAATACATACAGTGCTTGGGTTTGTTGCGCGCTTGGTTGTGTAGCGTGTCAGAGCCATGCGACTCTTGCACTGAACTGGGTTGGCCTGCCTTGGCCTCCTCCACGTCGGATGATCTGTCAGATTCCCCGGCTCCGTTCGCAGACCCACATTTGGAACCTGTTCGATCTTCTTTTGGCTGCACTGTTGATTTTCTACAGAACACATACAATGACCTCTGGCATACAGCTACGGTCCGTTTGTCACTTAGTGAGTTACTCGAGCTATTGTCGATCAATCGGCGCTCTTCATTGTTCTCCCCCGATCCCTATGCTCTGTTCCGGCTTAGCTCCGCTTTAAACGCCGTTGCACTGAACCATGTTCGGTCTCTTCACCCGAATTCGTTTCCCCGTCCTTTCCTACTCTCTTGCAGTTGTGCTGATGATCCTGACATGATGTGTTCTTCATGGTGCGAACAGTATCTGCTACCGAAAATGTATCCCATCGACCCTCTGGATGAATTGGTCTTTCATCGAGCCTGTGAATTATATTTACCTACTGGCATCATCAGGCGTTGTTTACCGAGACAAGAGTTGCTTGGGAAGTTGAAGAGCTTTTCCATGAGTAGTGGCAGTACTTCCTCCGAACAGGAGGATCCGGACTCCGGCACCTCTTTAGTGACGGCCGCTCGCATCCTGACGATTTGCTCCAGTCTGGCGAGCGTACGCGTCGTCACCCCGATCTATGTCTCCTCATGTCTTTCCATCTTCACTGAGGATTACCAGTCGTGGTTGACCAAGCTCTGTGATTCTGTGGACAGCAGAGTGCCAGACACTTGGAAGCCGCACTCCGCTTATCTTGCCAGCTTGGCTGCTCTTTCATTTACAGAGTCACTGTTTTTACTTTGGCAACCGTGGCAATGGAAGCTGACCACTCACAAGTCGGACAGGTCGTCTACTTCTCATCGCCTTGGGCTTATTCAGCTCAGTCTACGGTTACAACAGTTGCGGCCATCGCTGACTCTTTCGCAGTGGGATTTTTTCATCTGTCTCGTGATTAGTTGGGTGTGCTCTGTGGCGAGCTTGCTCGCTGACAGAACACCGTTAGAAGATCACGATAGGCTGTTTGTGTTTCGAACTTTCCGTGCTGCTACTGCATTGGCCGCTATGTTTCTAGACTGTCGTATGTCTCCAGTGCGTTTGGACGCTCTGCTGGTACCTCATGCTTCTGCTTCAGGAGGAGGCGGAGGTCGCCCGCTTCCTTTGGACGATTCAGCGGGCGACGAATGGGACGACGATTTGGATGCGGAAGCTGATCAAGCAGATCCCAAAGACTTGGATATCAGCATAGGAGATAGCGATCCAATAGCGGATGACGGTGATGTACTCAATGATGTTGAAGGTACAGAGGCTTTGCTCCTCGACGAATTGGAACAAATTGACGAGGAACCGGAGTCACCTGTGATTCTCGACGTAAATGGTGAATTGGACGACACAGAAGCCGCAACTGATGGGCCAATTCTCCCACGTCGTGGTCGGCCTCCACCTTCCGTTCGAACTGACTGGGACAATTTTTTCTCCTCTCAACTTTATTCTAATCTGTTACCTATCGTTCTCCGATGTTGCTTGTCTCATTCGAACTCCAGTGTTTCATGCAGTCAAATGGACACTCCTTTTCATTTCCAAGCGCTTTGTGCTGCATTCGCCACCTGTCCAACCTCTCAGTTAATCCGCCTGTTTGCCGATAATCCCCGTCTGATTCTAGAGTATCTAGTGGATTTGGAGTTATCTGACTGCTCTTCTTCACCCCCAGTGTTACCGCTGATCTCTTCCAGAAATTGCTCGGTATCTCAGCTTGTTCCAGGTCTACGCGCCAGTTTTGAATTAGCTATTCGTTTGCTTCACTCTTCACCTTTCCAATCTGGCCAACTCCTCGGACATATATTGTTGACTCGACTCATCTGTACGCGCACCCAACGACCTGGCAGTGACGTGGTATCGAATTTGAGTAACTATCTTATCCATCGTCTTCCCACTTCCCTGCTGTTGTCACTATCAAGCCCTCTACCCGATTCCTTAGAACGTGACTTGTTTTCAGAGTCGGCTTTTGATTACTGGGGACGTGGATCTCGTGCTCTAACTTACGTCACAGTGTTCTCTGTGCAGGACGGCTGGAGTCTGGATTTATCGGCACACCGATCCATCTTAGGCTACCTTCTGGCTTGGGATTGTTTACTGAGTCTGTTCACCTGTGCCGGACCCCAGGCGGGTGCACGGTTACAACGAGCCTTGCTCGGTCGTTCGGCATCTCTGCTAGACAAATTCCTACTGTGTGTTGGTCTCCTTTTGCCATTCCCCTGTGATTTAGAAACATTTATAAATTCTCCCAGCCGATTTGAACCAGATGAACGTCTCATGCTTCCTGTGTCGGCCACTCGGACGAATCTTATCGCTACTCTGTCTGCACTCCGCTCCCAAACCCACCGCCGTCCAATGCGTTTGCCTGCCACTCCGGCGTCTGGTGATGTTCGCCGCTGGAGTGAACCGTTTGGTCCAGATGATCCTCTCCTCTTCCTGCCCGGCCACCGGCTGTCTCGTGATCTCAGTCACTTTGCTGTGCGGTTACTTCGTCGCTTCCTCTTTGAGGCGCCTTCTCTGTTCAGGAACTGGTTCCTTCGGTTGAGTTCTGTGAACTTCGCCTCGAACTCGGATGGGTCAACCAACAGTGCTCCTCCCCAAAGCCCATTGGCTCTCCATAAGCCGGGACGCTTACGTTTCCTGGCGAATGCGGTGGACGCCTTGATCACAAAGCACTTCGCCGCAGTTCTTGCTCGTGACGAGGTGATCTTAGTGCAGCGCATGGCTCGTATGCGACACATCAAGCGTGATGGAGACGCATCCAAAGCGTGGTTCTCTCTGTGGAGCTCTTCAAAGGAGGTGGGATCTATCACAATAAAGTGTCGGCCTTTGCTGAGAGAGGTAAGTGAGTGCCAGGGACTGGATAATCTTTAACTGAATTCCTCGATTTTGCTTTGTGCTGCTAAATAGCACAAGAAAGTTGTTTGTGACTTTTGTTGTGTATGTAGTCACCTTGATCCCAAATGTTTCCACAGGTCATTCAGGTTTTACACTAGATCACTCTACTTCTCTCCTCGCTTCTGCTCATTCCTCATATCACGTTGTGTTGCAACGAAGCGTCAGCTTAAACTAATGATCATAGTGATTGGGTTAATTCTGTTCTCATGTACTCAGGGCGGGTGAATATTCCTCCGTACCTTCTACTATTAAATACGAAATGCATGCACCATCAACCATGACTTGAATCACAGATTAAATTTACAAGTCAATTTTTGATACGTTCTCAGTTACAAGTGCACTTGGTAGTCAGTGGCCGAATAAGACATGCGCAGTGATAAACCGAAGAATGTCTGATGCATAGGGAGGCGCTAGGAGGGTACATTTTCTCGAACGCAAACCAGCGGAGCACGTGAATTGTGCTCACTCAACCAGCTGCCCCGAAAACTCGAACGAGTGAGCCCAAGGTCAATTCGACTTATGCCTAACGCACCGGAAGGATATCGATCAACAGGCTAGGGTTGATTTGAAATCATTACCCATGATCGAACGCGCATTCGGCTAGTGCAGGCTGTACAGTGTGAATTCTTTCCCCCGCGTTGGTTCACGTTCTGTTCTCAGAATAAACTCCGGTTTTTCGTGTACTCGCCCTGCTCGTTCTTCATTGCTGGGGATTGGCTTACGCTCTACTCTAGCAGTGTCCGACACAACCGATTTGGCGAGGGCAACTTACGCAACATCTCAATACCTGCAGATGAGTTAAAGGCAACCCTGCACCAACAGTGAACTCAGTTCGAGGCGTTCCAGATGCGACTAATGCAAAGTTTGACGCGGCAATTCAGAAATTAATCATCACTTCCTCTCCGGGAAGAAAATGCAGCCGAAACAATTGTAAACAGCATCACGGAGTTCCACTATGATGCTGGGCTTATTTTTAAATCCTGGTTTAAACGATATGAAGACATATTCCTGATCGAACAAGCGAATCAGGCTGCTACTGAGGAAGGTTGGTACAACTGAGCGCACACGATACACAAATTTCTGCCAAGAAACGCCAGGGATCTCACTTTTGACGAAACCGTACGCCAGCTCTCGGAAATTTTCGATGAGCGTTCTTCCTTGTTTAATACCCGAGACCAATGCATGAAACTAGCCATACTAGAAAGTGAAGATTTCATCACCTATGCTTGTAGAGTCATTTTCGAGTGCGAATAGTTCAAATTGTCTACTATGGCAGAAGATCACTTCAAGTGTTTGATTTTCATTTGCGGTCTCCAGTCACACTCCGACAGTGATATCAGGACCAGGTTGTTGAGAAAGATTGAGCTGTCCCCAGATATTACGCTACAGCAGCTAACGCATGATTGTCTGTGTTTGATAAACCTCGGGCATGATACAGCCATGTTGGAACGTTAATCATCAAACTCCACCTTCAAAGTTAGAAAGACATGCCTAAGACGACCCACCGGAACAGCAGCACCTGTCTTAGCGAAATCACAGTCTGTGTGCTGGTAGTGTGGCGAATGTCCTTTCGTAAAGTTTAGCCCCTATAAGATGCTCAGTGTGTAACCGACGTGGCCACAAAGAAAATCGATGTCGAACAAGAAAACTTGTCCGGATACCCAGCCAAAGACGTCGATCGCTCAGTCGCTCACATAGGACTGAGCCCAAATTCAACGCCGTGCTTGCGACAACTGATCCTAATTTTAGACGCCACCGCAACTACATGACTGCGATAATAAACAGAAGAACGGTTTGTTTGCAACTTGATACGGCGTCCGATATAACGGTCGTGTCAAAATGTACCTGGAAGAAACTGGGTTCGTCAGGATATCCTCGGACTAATAACATGTCCAGAAATGCATCCTTTGGTAGAATCAAATTGCTTGGTAATTTGATTGTGAGCTAGCAATTTCAGGCAAGCACGATCATAGTACCATTCGCACAGTTGGTTGTGAACTCAACATTCTTGGTCTGACTGCATTGATCGTTTGGAATTTTCTGACATTCCCAGCCACAAGTTGTGTTCATCAACACCTATGCAGATGCTGAGTGTCGAATCTGCCTAAGACTAATGTCCTACAGAAATCCAGAAGGGGAGGGAACGACAGAGGAAATACTGGATGCATTCCAACTGAACTACAGAACAACTGCAAATCCGCAGAGTCCGTCCTGCTGTTCACCCGCCAAAAGTTTGCTGAACAGGAAATTACGTCTAGCACATGATGTTATCCGACCGGTATCGGGCTAGCACTCGATTGTAACGCAAGAAAAACGTACGATCCGTCAGGTGATCTCGTGTTAGTTAAAGACTATCGCTGTGGTCATCGAAAGTGGGCTGTCGGCATCATTAAGTGACGTATTGAGCCTATCTGTTACGACGTGCAGGTGGGCGGTTGCTATGGAGGCGCCACGCCAACCAACTCCATCGGATCATTTGTCGTGATCCACAGAGCGGCGATTTATCTCTTGGAGGCGTTTGAAATGGAAAGTCCCACTGTAGCCGGAACGGCATATAATCTACTCTCGACGACAGATAACATGTCCCAGCAAAGTCGCAAATGCAGCCTTGCGCGTAAGCCAGTGATTCCGTTGCAGCTTGATCCAAGACGGAAATAATACGTCAAATAACCTAAGGGGAAGGTGCTAGGAGGGTAAGTTTTTTCAAACGCAAACCAGAGGAGCACGTGAATTGTGCTCACTCAATCAGCTGCCCCGAAAACCCGAACGAGTGAGCCAAAGGTCAACCCGGCTTATGCTTAACGTACCGGGAGGATGTCGATCAACAGGCTAGAGTTGATTTGAAATCAGGACCCATGATCGAACGCGCATTCGGCTAGTGCGCAGGCTGCACAGGGTGAATTCTTTACCCCGCGTTGGTTCACGTTCTGTTCTCCGAATAAACCCCGGTTTTTCGTTTACCCGCCCTGCTCGTTCTTCATTACTGGGGATTGGCCTGCGTTATACTCTAGCAGTTCTGCAACAACAGGAGGCTAGCGAGAGGTGCGAATCGATAGCCTCTATACTTGTGAATGTTATAGCTACATGTAATGACCGCGTAAATCATGACTGCACAATGTCTCCCATATATAATTCACCGGCATAATTTGTTAGTATAATTTCCTTCATCTAGTGAGATAGGAATACCATTGCGCTTCGACGTATTCAGCGAGTCGTAGCGAGATTTGGACCAAAGAGGCCATCAATGATTGACACCTAGGACCACGTCAGATGTGTACTTCTTCCCGGAGTGCTATGAAGCCAATGTTGGGCGAAAATAAAAATGGTGACAACTAGCTCCCCTAAGAACCACTGTGTTTTTGTGGTTGAATTTGATAACTCAGCAGGAAACCTGTGTGACAATACTACGGTGTTTACACAAGTGTGGCATTGCGGCAGTCACAAATCAGCCACATGTGAATCTTATAGGTAGAAATTCGTCACATGTGAATCTGTATTTACTAAATACACGAGGTAGACCACTGCGTTTTGACGGGACTTGAAACTGGCGTATGCAGACGATGTTTGGTCATTCGAACCTGTCAGAACTACCACCATCTCACGCTATTTCCCCGAACAAGGATCAGGGTGACGATATTGCACGCAACGATCCGAGTTTTACTGGTTCTTCTCTTCGGCACGAGGTATCTACCCGTACTTTCCCAACAACCAGCGCTCGATGTTGTTGTATGCACAGTGTTGTTCATTTTGGCAAGGTGCTTGGCGAATAGATCGGCATTTTTCTAGCAGGCAGTAAGAAGTTGTCTGTCTGCCTGGATCTCTTGGTTTGCTTGTTTGGGACTGAATCGCTTTTCTACACTAGGTTATTATGTCAGCAGGCAGCAGCGCGCTTGTAGTCCACTTTAACATTGTGTATGCTGAATCTAGAGTCAAATTAGCGTTGGACCACTCTGGATATACATTTTAATTCATGTCCGCATCGAAAAACATACCGATTGGCTCCGTTTAGTGGCCGCGTCATCTCCCCATCTACCCAGCAAACATTGTTCTCCAGAATTGTTTGGGTGTTCGTATGATTACCTCGGTACAGTTTTTCCCTGAGATACTTTTCGTGCCTTCAGTTTACGATTAACTAGTTGGCTTTTGGGATCGGTTCGGTGAGTTAGAAGAGATCCCTCTGCATTTTATACAAGGATGTCGCCATGTGACGTCCGGAGTTACTTTGTTTCTCAGGCCTAGATTTGTACTGGGATATACTGGTCAGATCACATAAACCTATATCTCAAAGCCCACTAGTCCAATACGATTAAAACCACTCTGCTATTGTTTCAGAATGAAGGACTTGATTCCTTCATTGTCTGCACCATTTTGTCACGAGATCCCCACTGAGCTTATCGTTAGGGTGTCTCAAACTGCAGTGGTTCTCTTTGACTTCCGAGTTCCCGTTGTAACTCCGACTTCCTCATCCCATCCACCCGTCAGCGATCATTATCTTTCGATACATTCAGAATTCCTTAAGCATGTTCAGTCGGTTTATTATTAGAGAATCTTCATTGCCACTTGCTATGCCCTTAGCAGAAAAGCCTACCGCACTGCAATAACCCATCGGACCAATAGTATGTGTATCGGAAGTTTCATGTGTCACCACTGCTCTGCAGAGTTTTGATCCCGTGAAAAATGAAGGATGTGCCTTTATTTATATTTGTTCTCTTCTTCGGACGCAGGTGATCGCCACTTACCACGTGACCGAAGAACACTCCATGGAGATGCTCATCCAACTACCGTCCAATTATCCACTTGGTCCTACCACCGTTACTTGCGGTCATGGTGTGGCCGTCAGCTCGCAACAGTGGCACGTTTGGAGCGTTCAGTTGTCTATGTTCATCAACAACCAGGTTTGTTTCCTTCGTACTAGGGCCATTGGTGATTGGTCGCACTTTATCTTATTTCCATCCTCGCTCTTTTTACTGTGGCCTCATTGACTTCGGTGTTCGTTTTAAGCTGTCATGTACGATTGCGAAATCACACTCATTACTTTTGGAATTGAGGTTTATTTCCTGACTTTTATGAGTGAACAGTGATTCGTCACTTTTGGTTCAAATCACATAGAAAGCTTCCAAAACCATAATGTGATACGACCCATTTTCTCTGGCGAGCTACGAACAAATGGAACCCTGTCGTTTTGATACATCTGGTCGTCTGTGCGAGCTTGCCGTACTTCCGGCCGGCCCGTAGTCTTAAGCATCGCAGTCCAGCCTTGTTATCGGGAAGCTCGGGTTGGAGCCTGTGTAGAGATCGGACGACCCTCGCAATATCCTTAGCCCACGTGCGACGTGGTAATTGCGCGGCAGAGAAGTGTCGGTACCGTGTATTGTCCTACTGCTGTCTTTGTCGTACTTTTAGAACCAACCCACTGTCTAGGAAAGCTTATAAATGTTCCACTTTTGTTTGAACTTTTAATTATATCGTACTTTTTATTTTCACCCTTTAAGTTGGTACATACTGTTACCATAATCTTCTCTCCGGGTGTTGTCGCATCGTGGTGGAAATTTGTAAACCACTGCTTGCAGTGCAGCAACTATCTGCGATGTGTCGACCAATATAAACTTAATGAACGCCTAGGGACACAATTTATTGTTGAAGAAACTGGCCCCTTTATCCTTGTTTACTTTGTTGTAATACTATTTATTGATGGACCTTCTCGTCTGTTGCGATTTCGGATTGACGCATTTCATTATTGTGCCTTCGCAAGTGTAGTTTTCCGTCACAAATCAACGCATGGTATTTGTCAACTGGGGATTCGGCTTACGCGTTTCTGCATTAGGACTAGCTTTGGGACCAACAGGGAGTTTTACTGGGACGCGTTTACATCATATTGTCGCTTTCGATGGTGCACCAAGTTCCGCCGGTGAAGTGGCATTCTTTATCCCCACTTGTCCGTATGCAGTTTTACAATGTGCGGTGTCTTGGAAGGCGCGTTTACGTGTGGAATCTGCAATACTGTTCGGAGCCATCGCTTCATTAGTTCAATAATGTATTACGGGATAAAAAGCAGTGGCTTTACAAGACCCACAGGACAACATAAGTAAAAATAATTTTAAAGTGTTCCGGCGTAAGGCATAAGCCACCATTTCTGTAGAATTTATCACTTAGTTGAACACTGCGTTCTCGGTTTTCTTACTCTGCCCTGCCACGTTTACTGTGATTGCTGGAACGCTTGTGTTTAGCGCCTGTTCTCGGCCACACGCAGCGCCTTTATGGCCTCCAGTTTCCAGTTTCCGACCCGTCGCTTAAAGGCAACCTGCTTGTCTTGCAATCTGGCGACGCAGGTTTGAGTCTGCATACGGACAGAGCGACCCTCGCAGTATCCTTAGCCCACGTGCGACCGGTGGTGGTTGCGCTGCAGCAAAGCATCGCTACTGCGTACTGGCGTACTGCTGACGCTTTCCTTTCTGTTTTCCACTTTTTCCGTGTATTCACAAATGTTGGGGGTCGTTGTACTTGCGCAACATTGCTGTGGTTTTGTGAAGAATCTTATCTCCTATAATTTTTCAAACATTGAGTATGCATCCAAATAAACACTTGACGGCCATTTCTTCCTATGCGGACGTGTCGATAGCGCGTATCCATCGGACCTCGTCATGGATCCGAATCCATTACACCTTGCTCTTACAAGCCAATGGGTGACGGCGGCAGCGGATCGCCCTGACTGGTTAACAGCTGTGGTAGCGCTGCGTCGCTCTTTTTTTTCCACCATGCACTTTAACCACATGCAGATGACAGTTACATCATTTCTGTGAACTCGATATTTATTCTGAATTCGATCAGTTGAACCCCTATCGCGATGTTGATCATACGTCGTTTGCTTTGAACTCACTCCGAAAAAAACGCTACCCTTGGGCACACTAACTTGGCTCGTTTCTTGATCTCTGTTTTACTGTCTCTCTTAGAACGGCTCCATTCTCGATGGAATCGACCTGTGGCAACAGAATGTGCGCAAGAAATTTGAAGGGGTTGAAGAGTGCGCCATTTGCTACTCAATCCTGCATAACACTAATTTCAGTCTGCCAAAAATGCGGTGTCACACCTGCCGCAAATTGTTTCACTACGCCTGCATGTATCGTTGGTTCACGACCAGCCGCAATCCTGTATGTCCTTTGTGCCGACATCTCTTCTTTGGCCCCAATGGACGCTCGAAGTGAAATGGCTTACCTGATATTGCTGTCTATTCTGCCTTCCTGTATCATCAACTGTGATCCCAGAATTTTATCAGCTTTGTATAAAGTTTCTGTTTTTCATAGTGTGTTACTAGTCTCCTGACGGAAACTACAAAACCTCCCAACTGTAAGATGATGGGACATACAAAATTCCGCTTTTACTCTTCACCTGACCACCTCATAGATACGCTTTTTCCGACTGGACGTCACTGGATTTCCTACCTACCCCTTGGACTCATTTGTAGATACAGACGCTGTGTTTATTGTCTTCTGACTTATCCTCACAACACTACAAACACTCAATCTTTTCCATTTTGTTCAGTCAGGCGGATTTTTTTGCGTTCGTTCTCCTAACCCTGGGCTTCGGGTGGACGTAGTCTTGCTAGGATTCGTACAACAGGAGCTTTCACTACATGCTTTTGATGGTGACGCTTGCTGTGTCTGTTAGGAGTATGTTCGGGTCTTTGGAGGTTCGCCCTGCTCAGCTGTTACAACGATCTCTCTCAGGCTGGACCTTACCTGACTTTTAGACCCATTCGGGCCACTGACACCGTTCATGTAGTGGACATATGCCTAACGCCTGTTGCTCCCGCCCTCGGCCACGGTCTATCGCCCGCTTTCACATTGAGATGGCTGTTCTTCGCAGTTTGGAGTCACATCTCTCGCACCACGTGCTTGACGCATCTGTCACTGGGCTACCACAGACGCATACGACGGTTTCTCCAACTGGAATATTTCAACTAACCACAGCAATTCAAACCCACCGTAGTGCACTTAGTTGTAATGCTAAAAATCCGGAAGGCACCTCCTTTGTTATGGTATATGGAATTATTCATCTTCAATTGAACTAGTTGATTATGGAAATTTTATTAGAATCGTTAGGGTGCCATCTTATTCCACATATTCCTTGGAATATGGTGTTGTCCGAACGCACATTGCAATGAACAATGATTTATCACGGGTAAAAAAGCATGTGCTTGACAAATGCCGTGGGATGGTTAGGGTAAAAATCAAAATTTGAAGAATCATCGAATGAGTAAATCGTTATTTCAAGCGTCCACCGAGTTAAATGCACTACTGCATAACGATAGTTTGAGGTTAGAATGGGATATGAACACGCAAAATAGTATAGAGAGCTGTTATAGTTCAGTAAGTGCGTGAGAACTGTTGACTGTTTGTACATTATTAATGTTTTAATCTTCATTACAACCGGCTCGACACTTGACCGCTTTGTAAGTTCTCGCGCTAACGTGTACCTCCTGCCTTGCTTTGTGCATCCGCGTCTTCTTGTAGCCCATCGAATACAGTCCGCTGTGTCCGACTCTAATTGCCTTCTGATATCCGCGCTTACTTTCGCGCACCGTCACGGACTAGTATTAACTAGTGACTGGTGACCCCGATTCGCACGTGCGAATCCACCTTTTTTCGTCGTTTGTATTTTTGGTGAGTTCGTTCCTTTTACTCGATTATATACGTGTATTCCCTGGTTTCTTGCGTAATTTTAGTGCTTTCATCGTGTTTTCGTTCATCCTTTATCTTTTCGATTCACATTTCGAAACTGGTATCTGAGCCGTTTCGCAGCGTAAACATGCTTACTTTGCCTGTTCCAAGTTTCATGGACCACAGCCCAGAGCTGGAAAATAAGGGCATTACGGCAGACCGTCCAAGGTACAATCAGCTCGTCCCACGCTTTCCTTCGTCGGTTTTGACACTGGTTAAGGACATTCCACTCTGCTCATCGAATGAAGCAAAGTATGAAACGATGAAGCAAGCGATTCTTAAGGAGTTAACACCCAGCGCACGAGCTCGATTTGAACAGTTCAATGGTCTCAAACTTAGAGATCGCAAGCCGTCGGCGTTGCTCAGCGAGCTTCAGCGCTTCGCTGGTCCCTTATTCTTGAGCGAAGAAGGGATAACGTAGCTGTGGTTTGCACGTCTCCCAGAGCCATTGCCGGTAATGCTGTCCATGTTTCTGGATACGCTCCTGTAAGAATTAGCTACCAAGGCAGACGCTTCGTTCGAAGGTCTTCCGCAGCAAACGACCAGTAGTTCCGGTGACGTATTCCCACCGATGAAAACCGAATCCCATATCTGCTCCCAGTCGTCAGGACGATCTGACCCTAAAGAATAGGAAATTGCGCTACTTCGCAGCAGGATAGCAACAGTGAAGGCTTTGAAGCAGCGTGTGGCACGGTCAAATGCTGACCACATTTTGGCTGCCGTACATTGCGGCTCGTCTGTACCTGCACCGAGTACGTCACGTTCGGCACGAAAGCGCAACATTTTCCCTGCACGTTCTCAGTCAGATACTACCAATCCCGTCGAAGAAGTATGTTGGTATCACCGCCAATACGGTGGAAGAGCTAGATGTTGTCGGGCTCCTTGCATTAGGCACGACCCAGTTGCTTCAGGGAAAGCGAATAGCCCGCATACTAGCGCGACCAACGTATCCGTCAATAACCAAGCAAATCGCCTGTTTTACCTTAAGGATGGACTTTCTTCCATCACTTTCCTCATCGACATGGGAGCGGAAGTCAGCGTCATCCCAGCGGCCGCGAACGACAAGCACACAGAGCCTAAGTACAACCTGCGTGCGGCCAACGATTCTCCGATAGCTTCAATCGGCCAGCACATGACGAATCTGGACCTCCATCATCGCCGAGATTTTCAGTGGGTTTTCATGGTTGCTTCTGTATCCTTCACAATTATCGGTATCGACTTCCTCCGACATTTTGGGTTGCGTGTTGATACTGGTCGCTGTTGTGTAGCTCTCCGGGAAGCAAGAAGACTGGGCCGCGATCACGAAGTCATTTAGTAAGATTATGTTCGAATATTTATAGAGTATATACACTATTTACATCAGTCCGTCTCCATGGCTTATCCCTATTATTTGCATTGTGTCGCTGGCTCTCTTTCCATTGGGTTATGCTTGCTCGCGACATTCACTCTGTCTAAATCACCTTGGCTTTTTTAGTCGATGTACGATTGGCGGGATTGGGCCCACGAACTTCTTCCCTCGGTCTAATGCATCATGATCATCATCATTACACGTTAGCTGGAGGTGAAAAACACCTCAGCTGTTGTGCCGCAATACAAAAGATAAGAAAAGAATAAACAAACAACGCGCAAACAATGCACGTCGCGGGAGTCGGTGTGCTGGTATGCGCAACACGTGGCCCAGCCATCGGAGCCTGGTGCGTGGTCTAATGGTGCTGAGCGGTTCACTCGCTCTTCCTGCACCAAATACGCGACGTCGAACACGCTCATTGCTCACGCGGTGTTCCCACCAGACATGAGCTAAGCTGCGAAGGCAACGATGATCGAATGTGACGAGCCTCTTCATGTCTGTCGACCTGATGGGCCAGGTTTCACAGCCATATAGGAGAGTTGAACGGACGGCTGCGTTGTAAACTCTACCCTTGAGGGCGAGAGTAATGTCGCGTCTGCGCCACAGGTGGCGGAGATTGGCAAAAGCACCTCGAGCTTTTGCTACATGGTTCGTAACCTCATCTTCAATCCAAGGGGTGCTAATATAGCTGCCCAGGTACTTGAATTCCTGAACGACTTCTAGCAGATCACCACCAAGCGTTAGCGCAGGGTTGGGTCCCTGCCAATCTTGGAGAAGTACTTTGCATTTCGATGGAGCTAACCATTTTTTTGTTGTCCGACAAGCCCGCTCCAACGGCTCGCCGAAATGAACCCTGCCCTACAATTAATAAATGATAAATCACAAACGGCACATTGGACTCCGACTTCCTGCTTACCCCCACTTGACACGAACGCTCGCTCATTTTTACTCGGCACGAAATTCCGGTAGCCGAAGCGGACATCACTAAAACTGCTGTGACGACTCCATTTGGTTGTTCGAGTTTCTGCGCATGCCATTTTGTCTAAAGAATGCCGCGCAAGCTTTTCAGCGCTTCATCGACCAAGTTGGTCGCGGTTTAGACTTCGCTTACGCTTATCTCGACGACATCTTAATTGCGAGCTCTTCACGAGAAGGGCACATGCGCCACGTACGAACACTTTGATCTTTTATCTCAACACGGGGTGAAGATCAACGCAGAATAGTGTTCGTTTGGAGTCGACTCTGTAAGCTTCCTCGGCCATCGTATCTCCTCTGTAGGAGTCATGCCACTGCAGGATAAAATTCAAGCCGTCATCGACTACCCTGAGCCTCATTCTTTCAAACAGCTCAGGCGTTTTGATAGGCTTGTGAACTTTTAATGACGGTTCATAACCAACTGCGCCTCGCTGATGCAACCCCTCACGGACCTTCTCCGAGGGAAACTCACGAAATTCGAATTTCCTACCGTAGAACGCGCTGCTTTTAAGTCTCTGAAAGAGGCTATCGCCAACATAGCTTCTACAGCGCATCACGATCCGGCCGCCCCACTGTCCCTCAGTACTGACGCCTCGGACTTGGCAGTTGGCGCTGTTTTGCAGCGACGAGTAGTCGACACGTGGCAGCCCTTAGCGTTTTTTTCCAAACGCCTAAAACCTACCGAATCTCGCTACAGCACATTCGGTAGAGAACTACTAGCCGTATATCCAGCGATACGTCACTTTCGACATGTCCTAGAAGGCCGCTCTTTTGTCATCTTCACCGACCACAAACCCCTGACTTACGTGCTCGGCTTGACTACCGATCGCTACTGTCCTAGAGAGCCGCGCCACCTTGACTATATCGCTCAGTTTACGACCGATATGCGGCATGTCTCAGGTGTGCACAACGTTTTCGCCGATGCGCTTTCCCGCATCCATGCTATCTCCACTGACGCCAGCACTGCTATCGACTTGGCAGCCATGGCAACAGCGCAACTCAACAATCCTGAGGTTGAACTACTACGCAGGTCTCCCTCACTGGACATACGACCCGTTCCGCTGGCATCATTAGACGGAACTATACTCTGCGATTTATCTCTGAGCACGCCGCGCCCAGTCGTCCCACGCGAGTTTCCGCAGACCGTGTTCGACACTTTGCACGACGTGTCGCATCCAGGCGTTCGTGTCTCGGTTAAACTCGTAACCGCACGATTCGTTTGGCGCAATGTTAATCGGGACGTCCATACTTGGGCAGCTGCTTGCCTTCCGTGTCAACGCGCGAAGTTGCACAAACACACGAGAAGCCCATTAGGCACGTTTCCGACGCCAGATGCACGTTTTCATCACGTGCACGTCGACCTCGTAGGTCCTCTGCTGCCTTCGAAAAGCTCTGTGTATCTACTGACCTGTGTCGATCGGTTCACTAGGTGGCCAGAAGCTATTCCCATACCTAACTCTTCTTCGGAAACGGTAGCGAAATCTTTTATGGAGCGCTTGGTAGTTCAATACCGCCAAACCGCCCACCGATCGAGGGTCACATTTCTCGTCGACATTTGCCACGTTGCTTAAGGATTTAGGCTGTCGCCACGTTCAGACGGCGGCGTATCATCCGGCCGTTAACGGCATGGTGGAGCGTTTTCAC